TCATCCATTTTCTTTAATCTTATTGCCTCCTTCTAAACTTCCTATTATATTTAAATTATATTTCTCTATCTCAATATTATCTCGTTATTTATTTCATCTTTTTTATGGCAAATTCATTGTCATTTTATCCTTTTCCTCTTAGCTCATTTATTCAACTTACAGTTATTAAGAATCTTCCCTGAATCAGATGTTCAGTAGGCACTGGGAGTATAAGGGTGAACATCTCAGACCTAAAACCCACATTCATTGAAGTGATGGTCCAGTGAGGAAAACATATATTTTGTAAGTAAGCAATGATTAGAGCCCTACTAGAGGACATTTCTTAAACTAGGTTTTCTGGTTACTAAACTATTGCCTCCTATCTCTCAAACCACTGGCCTGCAATTTGTGAACCTGGGGCTGGGACTCCCTTGCCAGATCCTGGCTCCCTGTGAGGTCCTAATAGGGGTGCAGAGGAGACTAGACAGAGAAGGAGGGAGGAAGGCTACTTCTTTCTGTTCATTTTCTGTCTCTGTCAACATCACCCCAGCAGAGTTTCTTCATCTTGGAAGTGGCAGTTGCTTATTGTTTCCAGTTTATTTTTTTAAGTACTTCCAGAACCAGCTATATTATGCTCCTTACCCTCCACTACCCCACCATGAGATCCAGCACCAGTCTGCTGGGTAGTCCTTCAGAGGTCTAGGTCTTGACTCCTTGGGTCCCTGTTCCAAGTTCCTGAGGTGCCAGCACCAACATCCAGCGCCCTCCCCTTGGAGAGTTGAGCCCTCTCTAAGCTTCAGAGGTCTATAACCTAATTTCTTCCCTTTCCCTACGGTGGGACCAACTCCTAATGGGTCCCCTTTTTGCCTTTTTAGTCCTTCATTTTTTACACTAGTATTTTCTGTTAAGACAACTGATATGCTTTCTGTTTTCCTGCCTGGATCCTGACTGATAGATCTGTCTTCTGTTTCACTAGTTCAGTTAGCAGCAATACTCAGATGCTGTTTACCGTCTCCATGATACATATATATATTTCTAATTCAGCAGTTACGCTTTTTTTCCCTGCATAGTGGCAGTTTTCTTGATCTCAGATGTTATCCTATTTATAAATCCCTACTCTAGATTCTCAGTTGCTATTTCCTTTTCATTTTAAAGAACTTAAATTGGAAGTTATCTAAAAATGCCTCTCGTTTCTAGTCTTAGAGGAAGCCATTTAATTTCAGTTCTATGGTTTGTCTCCTTCATTAGTGGTATAATTCTTTTTTATATGGCTGGGGATGTTTTTCCTACTATTAGAAGTTACACAGATTCCTGTATGAATCTTTCAAGCCTTGGAACTAACATAGGTGGTCAAAGTATTTAGTTTGCCAATTCAGAAATGAATTAGGTTGGGCGACGTAGGGTGAGAATCATAGGTAGAACTGAAAGCATTCTGTTTCTGAGATCTATTTCTGTAATTTTTGGTATATTCAGTAGCTAGCTGGAATTTTTTTTTTCTTTTTTGGTGGTGGAGGTAATTAGGTTTATTTGTTTATTTTTAGAGGAGGTACTGGGAATTGAACCCAGGACCTCATGCATGCTAAGCATGTGCTCTACTGCTCGAGCTGTATCCTTCCCCAGCTAGCTGGAATTTATCTGGTATGTCTGCCCTCCTTGGGAGTCAAATGCCAGTCTCTCTGCCATCAGTATTAGGTATAGGCAGGGACTCGGTGATACTTGGGTTTCTCACTCGGTCTGATATCTGGTATGTGGCTGGCTGCCTGTTACGCGTTGGACCCAAATATATGACACCCTCGTTGTTGTCTGATCCCCTACTCTACTGCCTTTAATCTATAATCTTTGCATCTCCACACTTAGAAGTGTCTGTATACTTCTTATCGGAAGCCTTCCAGTGAATGTGAATGTCAGTTGGGAACATCAAGAGGTTGTATGGATCCTTTCTTCAATCTGATCCTGATTGGATGAGATCTGCTAGAAATTTCTCAGTTTCTTTTTCATAGGCAATACCCTTTCCTACATCCTAGTAATAATGTGCAACGCAGGGTTTTCCTTCTTTACGCACATGCTTGCTTAGCTAATTCATTAAGCAGGTGGGAGTGGGGAGGAAGGATGTCTTCGGTCTGGTTGTGTTTTCATCTGCCAGTGCAGTTACTGTAGGGGAGGGTGGAGGTACCTGTGAACTATGCATTTTGTTACTTTTTCCACTTCTAGAACAAAGAAACAGAAGATAAAATAGAAATAGTAAAAGATAAAATAGAAACTCCCGGTGTTCGTTTTCTGTGCTTCATCGGGTTGAATGCAGATTATTTGCCGTTCTCAAAACTGCAGTCATCATGCAGCAGCTGAATAAGACTTCCTTTTGAAAACAAAGCAATCAAAGAAAAGAAAAAAAATGGCAAACAAAATTCGCCATAAAAACACAACCCTTTCTGTTCGTTAGCAAACTGATGTGTCACGGAAGAGTCGCTCACACTCCACAATCGACTGATTTCAATATAGAGCCATCCTCCTTACAGTTTCAGTTACCCACGGTCAACTTAAGTCTGAAAATAGTAAATGACAAATCCCATAAATAAATAATTCATACATTTTCAACCACATGCCATTCTGAGTAGCATGAAGCAAGCTCATGCCATCCAGCTCCGTCCCACCCAGAATGTGAATTGCCCTTTGTCCAACATACCCTGCCCATTCACCTCTTAGAGTCATCTCAGTTATCAGATTGACTGTTGTGGTGTCGCAGTACTTGTGTTCAGGTCACCCCTATTGAAAGTAATAATGGCCCCAAAATGCACGTGATGCTGGCCATTCAGATGTGCCCGAGAGATACTGTGAAGTGCTTTCTTTAAGTGGAAAAGTGAACGTTCTTGACTTAATAAGGAAAGAAAAAAACTGCGCGATGAGGTTGCTAAGATCAGCGATAAGAATGAATCTTCTGTCTGTGAAATTCTGACAAAGGAAAAAGAAATGCATGCTAGCTTTGCTGTCATACCTCAAACTTCAAAAGTTACAGCCACGTGCATGATAAATGCTTAGTTAAGATGGAAAAACATTCAATTTGTATGATAAGAGATTTTGAGAGAGAGACTCCATTCATGTAACTTTTATTACAGCATATTGTTGTAGGTGTTCTATTGTATTATAAGTATTGTTGATCTCTTACTGTGCCTAATTTATAAATTGTACTTCAACGCTGTTATCACAGGTGTGTTATGTACCAGGAAAAAACATCGTATACATAGGGTTCGGGATTATCTCTGGTTTCAGGCATCCGTGGGGTGCTTGGAACACAGCCAGGGATAAGGGGGCCTTGCTGTAGTCCTGATGAAGAAATCAGTCATACGTAAAGGGGATTTTTGTCTCAAAGATCCCTTATGGGAAAACAAAGGAGAATTTGTGGTCAAATTGTGCGGGAAACATGAGATTTTTCATTCTGGGGAAATTACATTTTCCATCATTCATGATTTTGTCATCAATTATGTGAACTTTCTCACACCTGGAGTCGGAAATTCTGAATCATAAAGGCAGTGGCAGTTTTTGGATCTCGAGTAGAAGAAAGATGGCTTTACAGTCTGTGGGACAGCAGAGAAATGGGGAACTAAACCTGCCATCTGCCCACAGCATGAGTCCTTTTGAGATCCTTTGCCCCACGTACACTCACGGAGATCTCTGAACATACAGCATGACTGACAGAAGCCGTCGGTGGCCTCCAGGAGGGAATACATTAAGAGTAAAATGCAGAGGAGTGAACATGTGGATTGCTGTGCTTGTTACTCATGGAGCATGTTTGGCTTGCTAAAAGCACGTTTAATGTATTTATACAATTTATAAAGATGTAACTGATTCTGAAGCGCTGCTCTTTACAGAGAACATATTTCATGTGATTGTAAGCACTAAAGAAAATTAAATCAATAAATCCACAGCCTGTAATTTGAGATGCTCAAGTGTAGAAAAATACATTGTCAGGGAGGGAGAAGGGAGGTCTTGAGGAAGACTTATAAAACTGTCTCTGCGCTACCATCCCAGGCTTTCAAGTGACAGTGGGAATTAAACTTGTGCCGTAAAATGATCACTGTTGTTATGACACCTCAAAAGAAGTAAAGGGCAACTCCCACTCTTGTTAATGAAGCGTATGCTGAAGTGGAAAGTCAGACAGATGAAGCTCTTCCTCTCTTTTTGAACCATCCCTGTGTTCTTTTCCCCGAGAAAGCTTGGCTGGTTATCCGTCTGAGACTGGAAGCCCAGAATCTTGTTGGATTTTTTTCCCCATCACTGGCATCGACGCTCTATGTGACCACTGGCCGGCCAAGTAACCTCCCTAAGTGGCCCCCTTCCATGCGTAAAAGGCTAATCATGCAGCTTGTTTGCAAAGTACCTGGAGCCTTCCATGAGGGCACTACACTACACATTGCTGTTTGACTGGAGGACATTGTATTGTTTTAATTATATGTTTGGTTGGATAGGTTATAGATTTTTGTTGTGGTTGAGTGTTGCCTCTTCTCCCTGGTTACAAATAAAAAACGAATAGGTAATCTCACTGTATTACCATCCTCTAGAGCTCCCTAGAGGGTTAAGGGAATGGCAGAGGTTACAGATTAATAATGCATTCTTTAGTTAATAAAAAAAAATCACATGCATCTCCACTGCATAATAGCTGTGGATAGCAATTTATTAGGCCAAGTGTTTTATCAGATACTAAAGAGATCATACTGGCAGAAACTCATGAAATAAGTTTTTTATTCCCTGCCTCCCTCCCCGCCAGTAAATCTTTTATCCTTCACATCAGTATGGAACGTGAGGAACAGTTTCATTAAGGTTTATTTCAAATATGTTTGTGAATATTCAGGAAGGTGATTCTCGGATTCTGGAGTGACTTTGTGTGTGTGTGTGTGCATGTCTCTGTCTCTCTCTCTCTCTCTCTCTAAGTGGTGGCATGAAGCTCACTGTTTTACTATATTTGGAGCAAATGTGGATCATACTGGCTCTAGGGCAAAGTGTCATGTCTTCATGTATCTTTGCAGATTTACGGAAGAACTTTGAGCAAGATCCGCAGGGAAGAGAGGTTCCCATTGAAGGTATGATCGTGCTACACTGCCGTCCGCCCGAGGGCGTTCCTGCTGCCGAGGTAAGACCAGCCCTTTCCCCAGAGGGACAGTGGCTGAGCACTATGTGCTCCCAGGTGACTAAGGGAGCCTGGGTCTGGCCTTGTTGATGTCTGGACCCAACTGCTTAAAGATGGTGCAGAAATGGTGTTGGAAGTGAGTTGGAAGAGGAGATTGTCTCTCGCAGACTTCCTAGTCGACACAAGCTCTTGATAGGCAGCTCGGGTAGAATTTGTCACGGGCTCTTGGTTTTGGGGACCTCAGTCATGCAGGCGGCATCCTCTGTCCTCCGTCCACTGCCTTGAACATTCTGCTGTGTGTGTTGGCTTCTGGATCAATCTGATCGGCAAAGTCACATAACAAAGTGCATAAGAAAGGAGGGCAGGCCCTGGTGCCAAGTTTCACTGGTGTTTGTACTTACTTGCTCTTCGTTTGCTTATGGAACAAACATTCCTTGAGCATTTATTATGTTTCGGACACTGCGCTACTTTGGGGGATATAAAGTGTGAAGTCACAGGTCTCTGAATAGCTAGCCCTCCTTCATTTACAAGGAGGCGCCAGGAATCCAGAGTCATGACGGTTTTTGCTCCTTGCTTGTTTCCTAGAAACTTCTATCACAGTTAGAATGTAATTGTCAGTAATCAGAGTAAGACAGATACCATATGGTACCACTTATATGTGGAATCTAAAAAAAGAAAAATAGAAATGAACTTACAAACTGGAAACAGACTCACAGACATAGAAAACAAACTATGGTTACCAAAGGGGGAAAGGGTAGGGGAGGGATAAATTAAGCTTTTAGAATTAACATACACACACATATATATTATATATAAATTAGATAAACAACTAGGACCTAAGGAAAAAGAAAAAAATGAAAAATACAACATTGTGAGAAAAATTGACAAATCAATTTAACAACAAAGTTATCCAAAAAGCTTTAATTAGATTAGGGGTTGATATTATGTAAAGAACATTTTTTAAACCTTGCTATATTTCAGATGAAATATACTTGCACACTTAAAAGTATGTGTCAAAATTTATTAATGTGATTTGATGATTAAGAGATTGAGAGAAAAAAATATATATAACTGTCAGCAGTAACACACTTTGGTAGTAGGGACAGCTTCCTGAATCTTTCAGTCACTTTTTTTTTTTCAGACTACCCTCCAACCCTTTTATTTTTATTTATTTATTTGTTTGTTTTTCATTTTATTTTTTTCCTCTAATGGAAGAACCGGGGATTGAACCCAGGACCTCCTGCACATCAAGCATACACTCTACTACTGAGCTGTACCCGCCACCTTCTTTCAATGACTTTTGAATGAGGTTCTGATAGACCAGTACTACAGTTGTTAAGGCAGCGTGGCAGGGAACTCAGAAGTACAAGGAATACTTGGTACAATCCTGAATTTATAAAACTAGGCTTGAGATCACAGTAGATCATCCAATTGTGACTCTTCTCTGGGAAGCTGGAAAACTGTCCTTAGAGCCACAGCTTATTCGTGGAGGAGTAGAGATATTAAAATCAACAGGAACCTTTAACTCGCAGTTTAACTAAAATTGCTGTGGGATTTTGCAGCTGGAAGAACAGAGGAGCAGCAAGTAGCACAGGGAACAAGAAACCGTCCGCACTGGCACGTTTAGGCGGGAGGCTTGCTGGGTGGCCACTACTCAAAGCGCAAATGATTCCCGAAATGAAGTAAACGGGCTTGAAAATTAAAGTGAACATTCATGCATGATGTCAAATGATGAGAAAGGAAAATGCTTATTTTTGGATTTTTATTGAATGTGAAGCAGAAAGATACTTGCTCTCCTTTGGCCGCCACCTTGTTCCGCGCGGAGTGTGTCCTGGGTTCTCTAGCAGGGGGACAGACAGCAGGGTGTTCAGTGCTCAGGTGAACGTGTCAGTCTTATTTAGGACACCCATGTGCTCCTGGGATTCTAACTTGGGTATCAGCAGTTTTCTGTAGTCACCCCATCTCTCTAAATCCCGACTTACAAATGTTTCATGCATCAGAATGTCCCGCCTGTTTCATGCTGGCTGTGTGTACAGCCCAGTTTCCTTCCAAGCCCGTGCTGGGTCACTCCATCAATTTCAGCAGCCCCTGAGAGGCGTGAAGAAGGAATGAAGGTCATGGTTTTATTAGGTGTCCTGTGGGAACCTAACATTCTCTAGATGTCTAGGAATCAATTTTTACAGCGGGAAGAGAACTTAGATATCTACCTGGCACAGCCCTTACATTTTAGAGGCAAGAAAACTGATGCTTAGATCAATGACCTGCCGAAGGTCTTGCACCCATTTAAGGGATAACTCTGTTCGGTCTTCCAAAAGTTCCCCAAAGCATTCGAAGTAAATGTCTATTTTATTTTGATGCTTTATGTGGTCCATAATAATCTAGGCTGCTGTTGCCTCTGACCATCTCTTCTGCTGCTCAGTTTCAGACCCTGCTCTAGCCACACTGGCCTCCTCGTTCGTTTTCAGGTTCACCAGCCATGCACCTGCCTCAGGGCCTTTGCACATGCTGGCCCCTCTGCTGAAACACTCTTCCCGAGCTCTTACATTGCCTCATCCCTTCCTTCAGGGCTTGTTCAAATATCACCTGCTCAGTGAGGCCTGCTTGGGGTACTCTGATGAAAATGTCACTCCCCTCCCCTATACATATGCTTTCAAGCCCATTTCTCTACTTTGCATTAACTCCATAGCTCTTATTACAAACATACTGTAGTTATTTGGCTTATTTTCTGTCTACTCTACTGAAATTTAAGCTCCATGAGGGAAATTTTCTTGAACTTTTTATCACTTTATCCCCAGAATGTAAAACAGTGCTTCTTGCTTCCAGGCACTGAATAAATGTTTGTTGAATGTGAATGAAAGGTAATTTCCTGAACGTTTCTGAATATTTGAGGTTATACTAGGACTAGCCCCAGACAAGAACTGTAAAATCCACTAGACTCTTTTTGTTTGTTTTTTTCTCCCATTCTGGGTACTAGAAAATGAATAAGACATTCTCCATCTGCTCTTTGAAGACATAAGTGAAAATAAAGAACAAAGGAGAGAAGAGTAAAGAAGACACAGTCTGGGAAGGTCACAGCCACGGGGGAAGATGTATCATGGTGAATGAATGCCTCATGAGTGTGTACACATGCATGCCCACATTCACACCAAAGCATCTTCCCAGAGATGGCAGGGATTTAGGAATTAGAAGGACTCGGAGGCTCTTCAGGGCCATGGTTGATAGAGAGGATTCCCGTTGGAGAACAGGTGAGCCTCTAGGAAGTTAGCAGCATTCCTAGCTGTGCTTGGGGAAGGCTGAACTTGGGCTGAAGCTCAGAAGCACATTGCTGGACGTTCCTCCACTTTCTTGCCCCAGCTCTCTTTTCTTGAAGGCAAATGCGTGGTGCCTGTGGACTCAATTCACTTTCCATCTTTATTTGCATCTGATGGGCTTCCCAGCCATAACCCCAAAAGCAGAACAGGATGTGAAAAATTTCCAGTAGCCACACACAGTGATGTCAGTGAAACAAATATTCGGGAGCGTTGTCGATCAGGAGAGGAGGGAACACAATACAGGCCTATCAGTAAGAAAGTGTATTTTCTTTTCTGGTACCTTCCCTCCCTCCAGATTTCCACACTGTAGGCATACACTTGCTCTAGAAGTCTCCTGGGACTGCTGTGACAAACTACTACTTACTGGGTGGCTGAAAACAGCAAAGTGGATTCTCTCACAGTTCTGGAGGCTAGAAGTCTGAAATCGGGGTGCAGGCAGGGCTAGTTTTCCTGGAGACTCTGGGAAAGCATCTGTTCCATGCTTCTCTCTTAGTGGTTCCTGGCAATCCTTGATGTCCGTGGCTTGTGGACGCGTTACTCCAGTCTCTGCCTCTGTCTTCACGTGGTATTCTTCTCTCTGTATCTCTGTGTGTCTGAACTTCCCTCTTATAAGGACGCAAGTCATTATATTGGAGCCAATTTCAATCCAGTAAGCCCTTGCGTTAAGAGTCTGGGTCACAGTACACCTGCAGTGACCCTGTTTCCAAATAAGGTCACGTGCACAGGTTACATGTGGGCATGAAATTGGGGCGGACGGTGCTCTTGAACTCAGTGCCCTTCCCATTCTCCATGATTTGATATCATATCACTCCTACTTTTAATAATGTAGGTGTTATTAGGAATAAATTTCAGAGCCAGGCTGGCTAAAAGTAAGTAGTGGGCCATTTCAAGAAGCAGCTGGGCTGCAGGATGGTTTAACACAGAAATTCTGAGCTGAGAGCAGGGAGCAGGGGAGCCTTTGTTTTCTACATTTTGTATTATAGATGAACAGGGAGTGTGTTCCAGCTCCTCTGTGGGTTAATGGCTATTATGGGGCCCAAACAAGCTTTTATAGCATCGTCTTAAGGTGGGAGAGTATCCCGGTTCCAAATACTTGAGGTACTTTGAAATTTCACTTATTTATGAGTTGGATGCTGCCTCCAATATTTACAGCTCTTTTGGTTTCAGCACTAGCTTACACAGTGGTTATCACCACCACTATCTGTGTTTTCGTTGAAGGGGAGGTAGAAAGGTGAGAGATACACAGATAGGGAAGGAAAGTGAAAGTGTTCATACCTTCCCCTGTCGGGGTCTCCCAGGGTGGAGATGTCTGCCAGTGCCTGTCATGGGGTCTTCAGATCTCAAGGAGAGTGTTTTTGTGCTCACTGATTCATAGTCATGCGAAGATTGTAGAGTTAACGACTCTTCGGTGTGGCAATAACTGGAAACTGTGCTTGGAAATTGATCAGTATTGTAATTGTCACTGTGAAATATTATCAGTCAGAGTTACCTTCCCTGAGCAGGCTGTGTTGCACCCTCTCCACCTTCCTGCCCACCTACTGTGGGGCCCAAAGGGGTCATCCCTGGAAGGGATTTTCAGGGCCACTGATATATCAGCTGGTTTTGTTCTGCAGTGGCATAAGGGGTCTTCTCCTTGACATGTTGAAAGGAACCTGGAGGGCAAGTCTCGTCTTCACAAGACATAAACAATCG